AAACTGTCGACTTCTCTAAATGTATTTTTAATTAATAGATTATCTAACGCACTTAATAAATAAGCAAGTTCAATATAATTAACTCTGTTATATAAGATTGAATAGATTCTCTACGCCCTCTAAATGCCAATTCTCACTTCAATAACATCTACTAATTAAAATATAATATATCTATTAGCCGTAACTATCTTGTTATAATTTTCAATATTTATTTTATATTGTGTACTAATGTTAAATTCTATTCTATTTTGATTTCCAAATTGCTTCAATTTTACGAAAGAATCGATGCGAGATTTAGGATTTTCGTGTCTTTTGCCAGCTTTACTCAAATTATTTAAATCGTTAAAGCCAATCTCATTCTACACACTAGTTTTATTTGAAAATAGTAGGCAAGGCCAACAAAACAATTTTTGCATTTTTATGCATCCACAAAGCCATTTTATATCTTCATAAATTTTATCATGAAAATGTCGAACAAATTTTTTTGTTGACGTATTTATATTTAATTTAGGCATTGGTCTTTCTCTTTTAATAATGTTTTCCTTTTCATTATATGGTCTCGAGCCAAAACTTTTTGAAATAAATTTTCAATATCACAATTACATTCTAAATTGCTAGCCATAATATAAAGGCTAAAATTAAAAATAAAATTATAAAAACTTACTTGTTAAAATAAAATGTGTGATGGATATACAATTATACATATATGGTACAAAATATTTGATTGTATGAATATAGTTTTGTGAAGAAACGTACATAAAAATAGCATAAGATATTCTTTACTGTTTAAATATTAAAACAATCCACTTAGTTAAAAGTGCTCCCTATCAGTGGCTTGTGGATGGAATCAGAGACAATCTTGGTAGGTGTGCGGTGTGTGCATGCGTGCCAAATTCCGAGGGTGCCAATACCGGTTAACGTCTTTTGTAGTATCACTAGTATATCTCAAAAGACGCAACAGGGTTGTTGTAAATTTTAAACGTTTCTCACCATAGCTGTAAAAATCTAAATACGTTAAACTTAATAGATTGTCTGTCTTTTGTTTTCTAACTAATTTGTTTTAGGACCAGGTGTCGTCCATGGAAATTTCCAAAATTTACAACTTTTCGGTCACTCTCGTTGAACTGGAAAAATTTCTGTCTTTATTACATCTAATACAGTATTTTGAAGAAATCAGTCCCCCACTGTACTCGGCTATAGATTGGTTCAGTTAAGCTTTTGTTTAAGTAATATTCCGGCTCTTTCGTCAGGGTTTTGTTTATGTCCCCAATTCCCTAATCGCTTAATTGTTTAACTACTTCTTAAGTAGAAATAAGTCGAAACCAGTTACTTTGTACTCGAAATATTTCTAGTCTTGGGAAAAAAGTGGAGACACAAGTTTTTATGACAAACGGATACATAAATCGTAAATTTAAGGAAAATAAATTATACAGCTTTTTCTGTACCTGGTGCATCTCTCTCATTCATTAAATTTAGTCATAAATGACACTGTCGAAGTAAAGGTTAATTTTTTAACATTATACAAGAATTGTACACGTTTTTTTCTACATCCCCTTAAAGATGGGATGTACGAAATCATAATATCACTGGTTTAACATCGAAATCCATGAGTAATATAAAATTGGAAAGCGGAATAAATATATCAAATATTTTAATGGATTTTTTTAACTCCTCTACTATCGTAAAAACATACCAGTAAATTCTTATCAGTTGGGTTAAGTTATAAATCTACTCGTTATTCACGTAATCGAAATATCTAGCGGGCAGGCGGCTAACAGCCCAGAACTGGTCCCGGATAGAATTGGAATCGTTATATGTGTGTAGCTTCCACCCAAGGTCGTAGGCTTCCACCGGCTAAACCGGGTGAGGTTGGTGCTCTGTAAAGCGCGTGCGCAAATCTGGCTTTTTGGAATCTGACAATACAGAGATTCCACTCCGCCACTAATATTCGAATATACAATAGCAATCTTTTTTTTTTTTTTCACGTGTAGTATAGAAATTTGTAATAAGATACATATTGCGGTTATAATAAAATATTGTGAGATTATTTTCATATAATTAAAATTAATATTTATTTATTTTTTAGAAAATACGAGGGAAGCAGCGATTCCACCGCTTCTAATGATGGCAAGCCACTGAGTGGTTGGCACCTCTGTAGATTATCTATGATTACTTTAATACTGAAGATATCAAATGAATAGCCAAATTTCTTTATCAGATATTAAGGATAAATAATTACTAAATAATTTGGCAGAAGATAGGCAGTTAGGCTGTCTTATTAAATTTAATAATTATAAACAAATTAATTAATTTAATTTATGAGGAGTGAGTCAAAAACTATCTGCACTTTGATTATATTAAAACATTGTATTATCAGTGCTTTTTGTACAAGATCACTGTCTCTCCAGTTACTGTTGTACAGTTTCAAACTAATGTTTGAGCCTGTACAACAGTATAACATGTTAGTTCAGTTATGACTTTGGTATGAGAGAAACAATGGCTGCCTCACTTGTGATTTGCACAAAGAGCAGTGTGCAGTGATTCATTTTTTGTGGTCTGAGGGTGTCTGGTGCTGACATTTATCAAAGACTTTGTGCACAGTATGGAGAAAGTGTTTTTTTGCAAAGAAGTGTGTTTGAATGTATACAGAAATTCAAGGAAGATCACACAAGTGTCACTCATGACTGATGGCAACATTGAGCATGCACATGAACTGATTCTGTCAGATAGACAAGTGACAGTGAATGATGGTGTGGCTAATCATTTGTATATCAATCATGTCTCTGTCTATGCAATAATCCATGACAGACTGAGTTTGAAAAGTTTGTGCAAGGTGAATACCAAAACATCTCACAGAAGAGCACAAACAGTAGCATTTAGAGCGTCGATTATCAGAATCAACTGAAGACTTGGATTGTTTGAAAAATCGATTTTTCAGATAACTGATTATGTACGAAAAATACATTATTAATATAGTATATTAGTATATCCCAATTATAGTATATTAATATATCCCATGTTTAAATTTTTCTCTGTTGCATGTCACTTTGCATTGAATTTTCGTCGATGTTAAGCCTAATGAAAATTTTTATAATAATAATCATGGCTATTGTATTGTTAAAAATTATTTCTTTATTTTGTACAAACAAAATAAATATATTGAAAAATATAAAAACAAAAAAAATTATACTTTAGAAGTTAATTTAGTATCAAAAACGTTCGATTCAGCATGACACAGTCCAACTGGAATGCTTTCGGTTAACCAACATTTCAGTTGATCAGCATTCAGATAATCAATGCTCTACTGTATCTGCAAATGACATTTGGACCAATATTCTAAAAAATGTAAAAGTTTCTTGCAAAGAATCATTACTGGTGATGAGACATGGATTCATCACTATGAGCCTGAGAGTAAACGGCAGTACAGATAACCCCCATATAACACGGTAGTTACGTTCCAAAAAATTGCCGTGTTATGCGGATCAGTGTTACACGAAATAAAGAACTAATACGAAAAGGAGGGTTAGGTTCCAAAAATTAAAAAAACATGCTATTATATTTTCATAATTAAGATAAATATCTTCATTAAAATTTTTTTAAGTGATACATATTAATATAAATTAAACAATGTTTTCTTCGTCATCACTAAAAACACTATTAATTAACCGAGAGCGTTTTCTTTTTGGCAAGTTATCCTTATCCTCTGAGCATTTTTCTGCATTATCTTCAGATCCATGCTTTACCTTTTGCAAAATGTATGTAATTTTAGATTGCTTGCTTCTAGTTAAAAGATCTTTATAAATTTCCTTATATGGTGCTAAGCACTTATGAAGAATAAAGCAAGTATGGAATAAGGGAAAAACATTCGGCAACATCAGAAGCAGAAGCGTCGCGATCTGGCAATGTTGAAATAAGTTTCGAGAAGGACCACGTGTATCGACAGAAGGCGAGAAGAGAAAATTTACATACTTAAGTACTAATAGTTCACGAAAATAATAATTTTCGTGAACTATTATTACTTAAGTATGTAAAAATTTATTACATTTCCTGTTGTATGAGGGTTTTACCCAATTCTCGAACCATGTCAGAGTGAATCCGTGCTATAAAAGTACCGTGTTATACGGGGGATGGTACCAATTCTTGAACCGTGTTAGAGTGAATCCGTGCTATAGAAGTGCCGTGTTATACGGGGGTTACCTGTATATGAAATGGAAACATCCTCAATCACTGACAAAGAAAAAGTTCAAAAGTCAACCATCAGCTGGAAAATTGATGCTTACAGTTTTCTGGGATTCTCAAAGGCCAGTATTGAAACATTATTAAGAAAAAAGTTCAACAATCAACAGTGCTTATTACAGTGAGATGTTCACTGAAGAACTGACACCTGCAATTCAGACAAAATGCAGATGACTGTTCTATTGTTGCATGATAATGCACATCCACATGCCACTGCCCACACTGTCAATACTCTACAGAAACTTCATTGTGAAGTGTTGGATCATCTTCCCTGTAATCCTGATCTCACTTAATCAGACTATCACCTGTTTGGTTACCTTAAAGAAGACCTACAAGGATGGAGACTCATGTCTGATGAAGAAGTGAAGAGCAATGCATTTGTGGCTCACAGCTCAGCCAAAATCTTTAATGAGGGAATATAAAAGCTTGTTGACAGATGGACAAAGTGTATTGACTTAATCATTTTGTAATTAATAAAGATGTTATTTAAATAAACTACTTTTACTTTATCAATTTATATGTTTAAGAAATATGCAGCTACTGACTTATGAAAATGATATTCATTTCTTGGGTATTGTTATGCAACTGTTTAAATTATTGATGTGAGTTTCATTTATTGTCTTCAAATAATCATTTGATAGTTTTTAAAGTTTATTTTTACATATTTTCATTTAATCAACAATTTTTTGTATTAACCAATTAATCATATAATGCTTGAATACTTTCAAAAAATAACTATCAAAATATCAATAAAAAATATTTACCTTTTCATGTTCTTTCTGATAAGTTGATTTAACTGTTAAGTCAGGTTCATCTTTTTCATCTTCATTATCACTTTCATCTGATATTACAGATTCTATTTTACTTTCTTTTATATCATTCATTTCTTCATCATCCACATCTCTTGTATCATACATACTAGCAAACATTTTGAAATTAAATTGTTATACATTATATTTAATTAATTAAATGTAATTCTATTAATTGATCATGTCACAAGAAAAGCTAATCAAATTGGTAGAACTTAGTTAAAAAAAATAATTTTATTCTAATATTAAACAATTTTATTTATTACAGTAGAAACTTGTTTTAACAGATCGCAGAACAATGGATTTCTCAGAAAAACAGATTTTTTCACTAGGTCCCACTAAATCAATGTAATTTTACCTCCTTTTAGTGGATCTGTAACTCAGAATAATGGATTTTTTTTCTAGCCCCATCTATTGTAAACTTTGCATTTTTTTTTTTCAGCAGTTAGTTAATATTTGGATGTTTCTGGGAATTTGTAGAGTTCAATGATGCACTTGTTACATCTGGCATATGTACATTGAAGATTTGTTCAAAGAGAGTTGGCAGGCAGATACAATTAAGGAAGAGCCATCTGGTGAACATTCAGACATTGGTCCAAGTGTAGTGCCAAAATTTAGCAAAGCCATCAAGTCTTTCCAAGTTTGAAGATCCTCCTGGTGAGTTTCAGCATAAATGAACAGGCTGTATTGTACAGTACAGTACATGACATTGCTAATATCAAGTGGTTGTTGTATTCAATAGATAGAAAATCAGCATCAAAATAGCAACAAACCAAGATAAACAAGTTTTTTACAAATCAAAGTCAAGTGAAGTACTAATGAGCCTAAATAGCCTAATTTGCTTCTTTTTGTGCTTACAGTATATTAGTTATGTGCCAGATCATTAAAAATGTATATCCGCGGATACAGATACGGATCATTAGTGTCTAGATCTGCGGATATGGATATGGATCTCAACTTTTGTACTCAATCGGCGCCTGTGCTTGTGACCTTGGACTGATAGTTGACGTTTTGCGTTAGTAATGCGACATGTTTTGACTTATACTGTGCGTGTTTTTGTTTATAGTTTAGTGTGACACGGGGTAGCATAGATTACATTTGTATCTTTGGAGAGGGTTGAGTTAAATTAAAATAAAAACAATGTCGACAAAAAAGTTTAGTAGTGTAATATGGAAATATTTTACGATAGTAAATGAATTTTGAATGATAAAATTTTTGCAATATGAATGTGCCAAATATATGATTTTAAGAAATAAAAAGTGATTTGAATTGAAGTTATTAGGATTTTATTGCTACCTATCTTTAAAATTTCATGTAAGTAATGAAATTCATTAAGATAAAAGATCCGTTAAAAATCAGCTAAAAAGTAACAGATACAGATCTTTTTTTCCCTCGGATATCCGGCACATCACTACAGTATATACAGTTTCTGTCAGCTTTGTCATACACACATGTATGGTATAATATACAATCTTGTAACATACATTTTTCTATAAAATAGAGACTTCAAGAGATTGAACAATTCAAGTACAGGTATTTCTTATACATAGAGGGTTAAATAATGAATAATTTCCTGGATGGACAAGAAATATGTTATTCACAATGTAATTGGTTCTCAAAACAATAGATGAATTTTGATGGTCTGAGTGATCCATTAAAATGAGATTCTACTGTATTATTAACTACTAATTATACTAGTATATATACAAAAAAACTGGAATCATAGGACAAATTAACTTAATACTTTCTATATTCCAGTAAAAACAAGATTTAATCAAAACACATGTTTTTGGCCTTATTCAATAGGCCTTCTTCAGGTCACAATCTTTTGAACACACTCCACAAGACTGTAACCTAAAGAAGACCTAGCAAAGAAGGATGAAAACATTTGTGTTTTGATTAAATCTTGTTTTTGTTGGAATGTAGAAGATATTGAATTAATTTGTACTAATTATACTATTATTAATAACATTAATAATTATATTTTTATTCTAGTATTAAATAAAATTATATTAGGATAATTAATTTTAAAAAAGTTTTTTAATACAGCAAATATGAGTTGTTTTATCTTATTAGAATATTATTATAGAAAAATATATCAATATATCCAAAATTATCTTATTTAGCAAACATTTTAATGTTATTAATGTGTAGTGATAAGGATAATTATGTTTTCATACTTAATGATTCATATAATAATTTGATAAATCATCTGATTTTATTTAACATGAAAAAACTTTAAAATTATAAACCCAACTATAACTGATAGCATTCACAATTAACATTCTAATATCCATTTGCATCAATATATTAGATCATTGTTACAGTATCAATTTATCAGAAAGTAACATATCTCTAGATGTAATTGTAGATTCTGAACACATTAATCCAAGAAAAAAACCATTTACTGACTCCTATATATGTATAAAGTAAAATTTTTTAGTTAATTGTAAACCATGGAGTCATACAATTTACTTAAAATAATGAAGATAGAGACAACAGTGGAAATTTATAGGTTTACAATTTTTTCAAATTGCTGCCCAATTACGTATATTTAAGATACAGATCTTAAATATACTTAATGAGTATATAATTAGTTAAATATAATTATCTACTTATCAACTGTTAGATTTGAAATGAAAACATTACAAATTTGATTTTTAATACCTTTTTACAATATCTTCTTGACAAAATGTCTATTAATGCACTGGATATCATAAAACTGACTTAACTTTGCTAACAATAAGTCTATTCAGTTCTTATTTATTAAAATTAGACAGTTATTTACTTAAATTGTTACATTTTTGTTAAGTTATAATTTGACTGATATATTTCACTCTTATTATGGAATAAAATACATCAGACAGTATTATATTGTTATGAAAAACATTATTATTAAAGAATAAATTATATCATAACTATTTCATATGTATGTAAATTGGATCCCATAATTAACAAAAACTATAATGAAATCCTTAATTTCCTTCATTAACAGCAGTCCTAAAGTCCAAAACAAACAAAATCTAAATGCAATAGTACCAAAAAGGCACAAAGGTAAAACATCAAATTCTTGCAACCCAGGCTGCAAAGATAATCAAGTTTTACCAGTTCCGAGATGTCCCAAGCTATTGGATGTCACCTATTATATAGTTCCGAGATGTCCCAAGCTATTGGATGTCACCTAGCTTCAGGTGATGTGCCAGTTCTATTCAATTTCCCATAGAAATCAACAAATCAAAGAAGGGTTCTGTGAGTAAAGTGTTCAACATGGACAGAGATCGAACACTTCACATTAGGAAGTTGCTTTATATCCACCAGTTTTATGTGCAGTAGAGCATCGATTAGCCAAATGTCAATCAACCAAAATGTTGGTTAACCGAAAGCGTTCCAGTTGGACTGTGTCGTGCTGAATCGAATGTTTTTGATACTAGATTAACTTTTTAAACAGAATATTTTTGTTTTTATATTTTTCAATATATTTATTTTGTTTGTACAAAATAAAGAAATAATTTTTAATCATACAATAGCCACAATTATAAAAATTTTTATTAGGCTTAACACTGATGAAAATTCAATGCAAAGCAAAACACAATGGAGAAAAATTTAAACATGGGATATATTAATATACTATTCTTGGACTATACTGATATACTATATTAATAATGTATTTTTTCGTACATAATTGGTTATCTGGAAAATCGATTTTCCAAACAACTCCAGTCCCCAATTGATTCAGATAATCGATGCTCTACTGTACTACCAAAAAATCAATTGGTAAAATGGGAACTGTAGATTTTAAAAAGATCAAGGAACAGAGAGACATGTAACATCACCAAGGTGCTTCACCTCACAAGACTGTTTCTAATTACCATAAATGCATAAAATTTTACTGTTCATTAATACTTTCTGTAACCAGAAATGTTCACCAACATTAAAATCATTTGTTCATTTTAACAGATGGTGTAGATGAGCATTCTTCTGGGTCCTTGCAACACATCTTGCTAGCCATACAAGTTAACCACATTTTGGCCAAAACCCAAGAAAAACTACAAAAGTGAAACCAAAAACTGCTCTCCATTGAGATATAAACCCCGTAACTCCACATATGATTAGCTAATCTAATTTTTTTCTTTTTAAATTAATTCAAACTTCTTGAAGTTGTCTTTCGCGTGATTAAAAACTTATAATAAAATAGATTTATATCAATATTTCTATTTAAATAAACAGTGATTTTTATTTCATAGCAAGAATGATTGTATTTACTTTTAAAATATTTTCTTCTATATCAGAAAATGCTTATTATTATTTTGTTCAAGTTAACCATACTAATGTTGGCATTTCTTATCTGTATTTTGTATTCTAAAAAAATATAAATATTAAAAATTGAATTGTGACTATTTACAAAAAAATTATAATTTTTTTTTGTGGTGTGTTAAAAAGGATGAAAGATAGACTCAAAAAAAATTTTATAATTTTTTTGTAAATAGTCACAATTCAATTTTTAATTGAAGATATCCTGGGTTGTTCGTGTTATCATGTATGCTGTTATGCAAATATAAATATATTTATTAACTTGTATATTATATATCATTTAATATACACATAAGTATTTTAACTAATTTTTAACATAAAAATTATAAAATATTTAATAATAATAATGTTTTAAATTTAACTAACTCATTATTTTCCAATTCTTCTCCTTCAGATTCTTCTTGATCAGATTCTGATGGCATATCATCATCATCATCTTCTTCTTCTGGATTATCATCCTGTTCCTGGGCTTCATCAGTGTCATATTCCTCTGCATTATCATGCTCTATTTGAAAATCTTCAGTTTTATCCTCTTCTTGAATATCTTCATTATTTGGCATATCAAAGAAATCTTTATATGTAGCATTTCGAGCTGACTTAAAATTAAAATATTCTTTTCAGAAATTAAGGATACAAAATAAGTTATAATGTTAAAAATTGTTATTAAAATAATTAAGAAAGTTTTGAGATAAAACTCAAAATTTATTATTTCAATGCATAATACTTTATAGGAAAAAAGAAAACAAATACAAAACAATATTCTATCAAGGAAATAATACAAGAACATATAAAAAAAAAGTAATATAGAACAAATTTTGAGCAACTTTTAATTTGAAAAAATTATACAAATATCATTTTATATAATTTTATATCAATCAATTCTTTATTAACTTAAAAAATGTTTCCTTTATCAAGGGAGAATGTATAAATAAATTAAAATATAAATTTCTATTCTTTATATTTTACTCAAAGTAACTAATTTATGCACTGTACTTTGAATATAACACACTTTTTTAATTAGTTAAATTATTTACATAAACAGGAATTTAATGAAATTTGCATATTTTTAACTGAAAAGTATTAAGTTTTGCAATTTGTATAAATTAAACTTTTCAACTGAATGACTATATTTACACGAATTTTATTGCATGTGAACATAAACATTTCTTATTTTACTTTTTCACCTAATTTCGTAAGTCAAAGCTAAAAAATTTGAACATTAATTTTAATAAAAGAAAATTTCAAAAATAAATTATTGTATACAAATTATAATTGAAATATTAATATAATTTGGATAAAAAATAACAATTAGCAATCTTTGTTTGCAATAATGATTTTCATTCAGTTATAGTTATGATATTATTATTCAATTATTTATGAGATTATTCAATAATAATTTATATTGAATATAATCGATAATAATTTTCCAATGCAATGCTATTATTAAAAGGAAGTTTTATAATTATATTAAATGCTATTTTATCTGCAGTAATTGCTATATAAAAATAATTTTTAAATAGAATTTATTTATATTCACATTTTAAAAAAAATTTGCATATGAAACATGAGATTAAATAATATAAATTAAATTAAAAAATAAAGAATTATTATTATTAACATTACAAAAATAATTACTATTTCATCATCACTATCTGATGAGATATCTTCAAAGTAATCAATAAAATCTTCATCTGATGAATCATCATCACTCTGTTCTTTAGATTCTTTTAAATCTTCGCTATTTAAAAATTCTTCAAGTTCTGATAATTTAAAGAACTTATCATCAACAATAGATGTTGATAATGATGGCAAAAATCTAACTTTCTTAATTTCATTTTTCTTTGAACTTCTACTTTTCACCTTTTCTTTTCCAAGTTTATTTAATAATTTTTCTTTCTTTTCAGTGGTTTCATGTGGTATATTTCTTAATTTAATAGCAGTATGAGACTTAGACAATATTGAAATATTCTTTGATAAATGACTAAGAAATGGCTTATTTTGTAATTCAATTTGTTGCCAGATCTGCTCCTCATCAAAATCTTTTATTACTAATCTTTGTAAAGCAGATTTAATAACATGTTTTGTTACAGGTTCTGAACATTTTCCAAGATCATATAAAGTTTTTGCAACTTTCCTGAAGTTTACAGAATGCTGTGCTTGAGAACTGAAAACAAAAATCAAAACTACTTTAGTATTTTTTTCAATATGTTTAAAATACTCTAAATATAATTAGGATACAATTATAATTAACAATCGCTGATAAACAATTTGTTATCATTATAAAAATTATTATTTAGTAATGTTTATTTTGGGAGTTACACAGAAATAACTTTTCATAATCAATACAAACTTCCAAACTCTTGATAGTTCTCCTTTCAAATTAAAAAAATCCTATAGGAATAAATTAGTAGAAATCATAATAAATGTAATAATCAAAATTGTATAATAATATTTCAAGAATTTATTTGTGTTAAAAGCTATTATTATATACAGTAATACCCTGAACTTACGCGATAGGTGGGACCGAGTGATAATCGCGTAAGTCAAATTCGCGTAAGTCGGGGTATAATTTCGCAATTTGTGTAAAATCCAAATCGGATGTACGTAAGCTAATAAATGTTCTCATTAATCTTATCTCGTCTTTTGACTCGTTCACGGTTACAAGAAATCACCACATATTATCTCTCAAGTCTCCGTAGATATAACGAACACAGAAAAAATTACACAAAATAAATTATAGCTATGTGTCGATTCTGTGCGACACATCCGAACATGTAAGCTGAACAATAGTGTGGGGGGAGTGAGTAATAAAGAGTTGCGTGGCGCTCAAACAAAAGACGAATCGACGAGATTTGAAAATCGCGTAACTCCGGGTTCGCGTAAGTCGGGGTAGCATAAGTCAAGGTATTACTGTACACTAAATATACATTTTGCAATTTATTTTACCATTCTTATTAAATTTGTTATATATTTACAAATAATCTGTTAATTTCTTCCTTGATCTCAGTGATTCTTCTCTCTCTTTGAAAGTATTCTCACAAAAGTGTTTAATATTAAATTTTCAGTTTTCAAAGATATCAAATGTAAACATTTAGTCAATCATGTTTTTACTATACAGAAGTTTGTTAATGCAGCATCTGAAAATTTGGAATGCACCATCTAACTGTAATTTGGTAAACTATACACATTCCACATTATGTTCTGCTAACCAGCATGTATAACTAATATATTTTCTTTCCCACAGGCAAATATGAAAGACAATGACCTAAAAACAGGTTTCTCATATTGAGTATGTGTAGCTTTTGTAAATCATATGAATACAATATATGTCCAGAAAATAATTATTATATGCACATGAATCATTATGAATGTTAATTTTGTGCAAAAATGTGATCATTAATGTTTTTGCAAGTTTTTCAAAATACAGTATAAATCATGCACTATATCTTTAGAATCATTAAAGAGTGTGCTTAGACAAATTAGAAGCATACAGCTGTGTTTGCTAGTACGGAATATACAATAACATCTGTAACATTCAAATCATAGAGAATAATAGAAAAATCAAAAGAACTTACTATTATACACAGGGATGAATACTCTAACAAACTCATGGAGCACATAATAAACACCAAGTATTAAATATTACCTAAACACTCAACATATATTTCCCATTCACTGAAGAACTTATGAAAGAAGAAACATGTCCTCCCTCCCATTAGAAACTCAGTTTTACTTAATACTTGTTCAGTATCCATAATTTCTGAATACATTAAATAAAACCCACAAATTTACTGGTTATAGCTGTATATTCGTTTGTGAATGGTTGTCTCTTTAATCCAATGTATTCTTTCAGTAAACTATCTTACAGCATCAAGTTAATGAATTCTTTTATTATATTTTTACATATGCATTTCGAACTGGTTTCATATTTCCAGTTCCAAAAGCATATGTTAATTATAATAAAAGAATTCATTAACCTGATGCTGTAAGATAGTCTACCGAAAGAATACATCGGATTAAAGAGACAACCATTCACAAAACCCACAAAGTTGATTGGGATATCTACCCCATCATGCAGAAATGTTCAAGTTGGAATGAATCTTGCATTGTATGCTGAAAAATAACATGATGCCTTTCAATTACACAATTAACAAACGTTTATAAATATAACAAACACACAATTAACAACAACCAGAAATGATTTGAGATGACCAAAGATGTCTCCTTTGGTCACTTTGGTCTTGGAAGATTGACTAGAAACATCTGACTTCAAAAAATTATATCCATCACTACAAACTGAACCTGCTTTCCTCTACACAAGACAAAAACCTTTAGCAATTGGTACCTTTAAAAGAATGTTCTTTATGGACATCTATGAAATGCTACATATAATAAATTGTATAGCAAGCATGTTTTACATTTAACAGGAAATTCTAGACAAAATATAGGTCTACCCATGGGCTCCCCCCACTGGTACAGTTGCCAAGATTGACAGAAAGCTGAGAGAAAGCCTTACATCATCTTAAGGCACATAGTAAACTTTACAAAAATAGATGATATCCTGATAATTTGGAAAGGGGGAAGTAAAGCAAAAGACCTCAACAACAACTTATCTGATAACTCATTGGGGATAAAACTTGTAGAGACCAGACAAACCAATATGAGGTCTATTTTCTTGATAAATATAAAATCACTGTATATTGGAAGACAACTTATCAACATAGCTACATCCTGTGTATCTCTGCTGACTAGGAAAATTGTTTTTTTGTGTTTCATCAAAGCTAACAGATAGCTTTCCTTCCATGCTCTACTGGAATGCTCTCAGATCATAATTTAAAAAAATTCATTTTTTTGCACAGCATACCTTCTAAACTTATCATCATGGATTGAAACTAAGATAACTATAAATATATTCCCTACCAAGACCTTCTACGAAACTGGATCTGAGGTTTGCCTTTCACATCTTGGAAAATCTACCCATAAAATTAATGTAAAGAATAGCAAAAATGAATAATAGAACATTGGAAATGGAATGTCTCCATTTTTAACACTCTACAGAATGATAAAGAAAAGACATTTGGAAATAAGCAGAGTATATCAAATTCTGATCCACGACAGAAAAAGATAGGAACATACTGTATTTCTGAACATCAGAGAGATACAGAAATGGATATGGACACTACCACCCTGGAATAAATGCTGTTGGACAGAGACTTTAACACCATATGGGACAGGTTGGTTGAGCATCTTTGATCTGGAACCAACCACCTTACTACCATGTGGATGTATGAGAAAAGCTTAGCAATTAATGTAATCAATCACAGAGACTCTGGCAGCTTAGCAATATCTTGGAAGTAGCTAACACTCTAACTAACCATCATAGAGTCCCATTAATGGGACTCCACAGTGGTACTCCACAAGATGATAACATCACCTCATTTTATTTTAATTTAATTTATTACTGTTAAT